TCTCTTATATATATATGTGTGTGTGTGTGTATATATATATATATATATATATATTTACAGATATGTAAAAATCAAATAAAGAAGCAACTATGTCCATGCATGTTTATGTCCTGCATTCTCAGACCTTACCTCTCCAGGACAGGCCTGTGTTGCGTCACTTGTCCTGTTATGCTGAAATATATACACAGGTATACACGCGCGCATACACGTTTACATTCGATATAATACGATAGAGCAAAAGCAATACGCTTCGACATGAGACGATACGATACAACATAAAAAAACACATGCAAATACAAACTCAAGTACACATGCAGTTACATTCAAAAACAATACCGCGCAATGCAAAACAATACAGAACAGTATAGAACAATACAGTACGATATAATACAATACATTTCAATACAAAACAAAACATTACAATACAAGGCAATGCCAATAGACATGAACACATAAACACACAATACTAATGCAATGCCAATACATTGCCAATATGATGCCAGTACAATACCAATAAAATACCAATGCCAACACCACTTGTAATACATATACCAATGCCGGTACCACGACCAATACTAACATACCACTACACTACACTGCACTTCGCTGCACTACGCTATGCTATGCTACGCTACATACAGTACAGTACATACCTGAACATTGCAGACACATGCACGCACATGCACAGAAATTGAAGTGTAAGTCTAGCTATGAAAATGACTACAAGCAGGTTGAGTGTTCCTGCTGTGCCGCAGTTTCAGCGGCTAATATTCCTGCAAATGCCGTGGCGGTCGCTATTGTGTTTATGGTCGCAGGGACACGCGCGACAACTTAGCGGCTTTGGTTGGGTTGGCAGCATGATCTCACAAAAATCCTGGCCTCTTCGCCCTCACCGGTCTGGTGAAGAGGGAACTGGGCCTTGCATGGGGATTCCGATTTGCAACCAGGGGTGGGCTAGTTTTTTCCACAAGGGCTTCATGAGAGATGTCGAAGGGCTTTGTGAGGATCACAGCGATTACGATGACCCCGAACTTCGACACCGTCACGCACAGGGTTTACGCCGCGTTGGCTGCTGTTTCGGGGTTTACTTGAGGACTCAGTGTCGCAAACCATGTAGGCACTGCTGGCTTTTATTGTCGATTTGGTGGTGTACGGCATTCACACAGCATCTAGGGCCTTTAAACTTAAGGTTAAGATGGTTCAGACACCCGACACGCCTAAATCCTAAAGAATGGCCTCATAGCTCGCCAAGTTGACGAGTTCCTCTTCGTCAGGACCCCACTCCTGGCATTCAGCCACGAAACAACGGGTTTTTTGGTTTAGTTTGTCAATGCTTGGGCTTTTTAGTAGCCAGGGAGAAAAAAGTATAGACTTTTATTCATAATGGTTCCTTTAAGGAACAGGTCCCCACAAAAAAGTATTAAAGTATGGTAGTCCAAAGCCCAGGCTTGAGCTTCAGAGTGAAGAGGGGCTCAGACTGCTTCGGCTTTTCTTTGGTCTTTGGGGTTTGGAGAATTTAGGATTCGGCTTAAGTCGTAAAATACGCAGTGCTTTTGACTCTTCCGGTTTTTGGGTTTGTCTTTGTGGGGGGACTCCATGGACCGAACACCTACCGCGGGCCAAATCGTGCGACGAGCTGTTGAAATGCGGACTTTCAGACAATTCGGGGCGCCTTGATGGCGGTCCCCTATACTAAGGATCTTACCAGCTAGGGTCGATACTAGGATCCCCTGTGCCTGAGACTGCTGCTCTGAATCTATATTTGTATCTAAATCCTTTGCTGCTTTATCCGTACTTCCGCAATACCCACGGAACTAGAACACAAAACTTTCAGTTCTAGTTTGAAGGCTTGGTACTCGGACTCAGTCACTTTTAAGTTGTTGCTTTCCCGGAGACTCCGATATCCCTTAAACCAGGAATATACCTTAAATCATATTAAGGATCCTACTATAATTAAGGAATATTCCTTAGTTAAGGGATATTGGAGTCTCTGGGTTCATTCTTGCCACAACGCGATTGCTGCAGGCCCTCGGAGCCTGTTCGTCAGATGCGTAACTGTGAGCGCTTGGGTTTACGGTTTAGGGTTTAGGGTTAGGATTTAGGGTTTAGGGTTTAGGGGTGATCATGGCGCTTGCACGTTTTTGTTGCAGTTCGCGCTTGTGAATGAAATCTACTTTCTCTGGAACTCTACTTCCTCTTTCGGCACGTGCCGCAGATGTCATCATGACATGCTCCACAGTACCATCGAGGACCAGAATCGGCTTTAGCACACAGATTGCACACAAAGCTATCATACTCTGGGCTGACCCCCCACTTCATCTTATGCCCTGCAGCAAGGCAGACATTGCCACGATCAGGCTTCAACTCTCCAATCATCTGCCGCAGCTGTCTCTCGCGGATGATCACGACACCTTGATCGATTGCTTTCTGATACTTGCTGGACATAGCACCACTGTTCACACAAAGGAGATGTGTGGACTTCTTGGTCAGAGAGCTGGTCACTTCTCCACCATGACCTTGCAACACACTGGAGCCCGTAAAGCTTGAGAAGCTAAACCAACCCTAAACCCTAAACCCTAAACCCTAAACCCTAAACCCTAAACCCTAAGCCCATCACCCAACAACAACCCCTAAGCCCTCGAAAACCTTGCCCCACTGCCGAAGCTGCAAGTCGGTCCGAAGCAAAACGTTATCAAGATACTAAGATAGCAGTAATGGAAGTGAAGACAGTAGCATGATAGTTATGGCTTCAGAAATTACACACACACACACACATAGACACTGACACTAGTGACTAGTGCGAATACAGCTGATAATGGACCCACGCTTGCAGAACATTGCATGACTTGGATGGTATAGGATTGCTTAGATCTGCAGCAAGACTGATAGTTGTGCTAGGGAAAGTAACGGCAACAATGCTAAAGCTAGCAACAGTGTATTTCCTTCAGAACACAAAATGAATACCCGACACGAGAAAACAAGCATAACGGCAACAAGCTTGATAGCACGTTGAAGGCTGTGAAACGCGCCGAGGTTCTCTTGATGAGGTCCGTCATCTGTTTCCGTGTCTCTGAAACCGCACCGGTCATGCAGATTGCCCTGCCAGCCAGCTTGCCACTCTTCGTGGCCTTACCCTTGAGAATCGTCGGCTTGACCTTGTCCTTAGCTTTGGCTGTGGCCTTGGCCTTAGCTTTGGCGGTAGCCTTGGCCTTTGCCATGGGTTTGCCGAGTGCCTTCTTGAACTGTGCCTCTGTGTAGATCTTCTTGCCGTTCGCCTTGGCAGCAGTCACCTGGGCTGACACGTAAAATAGGGGCCTTCTATGGTTCTACTAAGAAAAAGACCCAAAACATTGTTTTATTAAGACCCCTACTATCATAGGGGTCTAAACGAAACAATGTTTTGGGTCCTTCTGAGTAGAACCATGGAAACCAACCCTGCGGAAGAGTCTTAGTAGTCAGTTCTTCAGGCCTCTTTATTACTGGCAGCTTTAGCCCTGTTTCCTTTTACATCATGCTGGGCACCTCAAACCTCAACCCCAACACCAGAACCTAATTGAAGTCCTCCGGCCTTGGCAGTTGCCACCGCGTCTGGGCCAGCGACGACCACATCGGTGTACGCAGACACGGATCCTGATACCTTCGCGCCGGCAGCTTTGGCCAGTGCAGATGCTTCTGCGCGGCTCATTGAGAGCGCTCCTCGCGGATTTGAGGGGAAGTCGCTGAGTAGAGCAACCATCTTGTCATACGTGGTGGGCTGTTCAAGGCAGCCTTAAAAATTAGAAGAAGCGCGGTTTCCGGGTATACTTAAAGCATGTCATAATGAGGGGGGCCTAAGTAACCATGTTTGCCGTGTGTTGTCAGAAAGCCAGGGCTCCCGTGAAGACCACTGTCTTCCCGCCGAGCGACATGGCAGAAGACGAAAGGCCAACAACTTAAAACCAAAGCCCCAAGACTCTGAGCCCAAATGTGTGGCAGCAGTGTCAGTACCCGAACTGACCAAGCTCTTTTGATAGCTACGGTTTAGGGTTGAGGCTGTAGGCTTTAGGCTTTGAACGAATACTCCCCAAGTCAGGGGAGTGGGGCGACCTAGGAAAGCCACACCCAAACTGCCGAAACGCAGCTTCTAACCTCCAGGGTTAGGATCAGAAGACGAGTTGGCCATGCACCGAACAAAGCCAAATATTACTTTACGCAGCGAGACTGTGTGGTGGACTGCCTCGACTAAGGATATGAGTAGTCGTGCATTCTGGAGGCTTCCCATGCTATGGGCTTATTCCGATGCATTTCCTGGCTTCTTGGATCGGAAAAATATACGCTAAAATGCAAAAGCCTCACGGACTTGGTGCAGAGGGGGTTGGGGGTGGGGCACTCGTATGGAGCATCATTTCCTAGGTTTGCGGCTTTAGGCTTTAATGCTGGTGTCGGCTATGACGATGCGCGCTTCGGGTTTCAGGCTTTGAATCCGGCTCTGATGGTCTTTCGCTCAGGGCATGTAGGTAGCAGAGACTTCCTGCTATCTCGATTACAGAGCTTCCTTCAACTAGGACAGAAAAAACAAACCTTAACGGCCGCACACCAAGTTAATCAGAATCATGGCGTGTTTGTAATACCCCGGCCCCCCCAAGCCCATAGTTTCAGCAACATCCAAAAGCAACATTTATCAAAACACCGAAAGCCCAACTGCTCGATCCAACCTTCGCGAGGATGCCGTCGTAAATTCGAGACCTAAGCAGACTTAGGGTTGAGGGTTAAGGGTTTAGGGTTCAGGGTTTAGGGTTGAGGGTGGTTGTGCGGCTTTCTTGGCTGGGCTGTGCAGAGCTTCGGAGCTCTTACCTGGCTTTCTTGATGTAGGAACTCACAAGGGCCGGAAGGACTGCAACAAAAAACAGGTTTAGTCTGTAATATGCTATAGCAGACTTGAATCATGGCGACAATGAGGAAAGGAAGCTGCAAACTACTCGAGCCTCCTCGAACCCCGGACCGGAAGAATATGTCTTTTGTACTTGCAGTAGTAGAGGGGCCTACATAATTAGAATAGATTTTGGGGTATACTATACTATAATTACAATAAGCAGCCCCCAAAATAGTATAGGTAATTATTTAGGCCCCTCTATTGCCTCTATTAGCACCGCTGTTGCTACAAACCAAGTCTGTCCACCATCGCAGCAGAGCAGTATTGGTGCTGGTCGGAGTATGGTAGCAGCTTCCACCGCTACTACCGCCATCACCACCACAAACCGCCTTTCGGTCTTCCGTAACGAGGCCAAAGACTTTTAGAGCCAAAAGAAATTACAAATACTATCGCTTAGGGTTTCCAGTTAGATTCATTATACGACAATTTAGTATAGTGTGCCCCCAAACCTCGTTCCAATTTGGCAGGCCCCAGTAAGACCAACACATGAATCCCAAACCTTGCCATCTGCCCACTTTTTGACGCGACCCGAGCTTCGCGTCTGACATGCCTCCCCTCCAATCAAGCCTGTCTAAATCTGTCTAAAGGATATTGAAAAAAGGGCAATTGTCAGCATCCTTGTCTGGCAACTCTGTACAAGAAACATGAGCCGAGCCTTGTCACCCGGATTGTGCTGATGTGGAGCGAGGCAGTGCTTTACACTATAATGGGAGGTTGTGCACAGGTCAGGCACCTATTCCAAAACTCATAGAAATCGGGAGGAACCCGAGACATGGTGTGCTGCCTGACTGCAGTTGCGGGAGCGTTTTTCAAGCATTCCCATGATTGAAGAATCGTGGGAGTGCTGACTGTCACAGCCACAGGAAACCATACCCTGAAGTGGACAACCGACAAAGGCCCCAAACCGACACAGGCCCCAAACTTCTTCGTGGCTTCTTCATGCAGTGTCGTGCTCACCCGCAACTCATGCAGGACTGACGCGGCATCTTTTGGCTGACTGTCTGTATCCCAAAGGCTAACATCACCTATACCCTAAACCCTACACCCCTAAATCCTAAACTGCTGAAACTTCTAACGAAGTCTCACCATGCTCTCAAGTCACTCCCATCGTCCCCTCGTTGGCATCCCCTGTTTGCAGCCTTCCTTGTCGCACATCCCTGTCAGTTCAGGTTTAGGGTGTAGAGTATTTAGGGAGCTCTAAACCCTTAACCCTAAACCGTTTAGGGCTTGTTGTTCAGGGTTCAGGCTTTAGGGAGCTACCCAAACTCCTGAAGTGCTACTATAAGGGGCTTGAAAAATACCGTTATGATGCGGGCTCGCTTTTTTCTCTCGGGATTTCGACTCTTGCCTAAACCTCAACGCCTCAATCTGAAACCCAGTCGTTCACCGAAACGTCTCATCGACGAGTCCCACTTTTGACCCTCAACAGTAGCAAGGTTTGATCCTGACATAGCCTGATTCAGCATGAACAGAGTTTTGACATAGGGATTACGAAGGAAGATGAGGCTGTTCAATTGACTGGCTAGCCTTCTGAAAAAACATACAAGTGATTCATTGAAGATGCATTTTTAAGTCACCGTTGAATCCTTAGACTATGCACTACGCAGAACCTCAGAAGCTAAATATAAATGACAGGATCCACAAACATATCTGATTGCACTCTGCATGACAGTATACGTGAGAATATCAATGTTCATACCTACGTCAATCGAAGCCCTATGCCATAAACCATCTCTTATACCCTAAACCCTAAACCCTAAACCGTAACCTCCTGGAAGACGGCTCTTCCTTGCAACCAGACTGCAAACCAAGAAACCCCACAAGCCAAGGTCTTTGGGCCGGGACTCTAGGCTCTACGTGGGAATCTCATGAAAATTATGGTAAGGTTGTTAGGGTTTAGGGTTTAGGGTTTAGGGTTTAACGCAACAAACGTTTCAGGTATGCTCTTTCAGGAAAGTTTTTTTGAGCCTCTGGTTTCCCAAGATAAGTAAGCTGAACGAACCCCTTGCAGCTATCAACAAGTCTCATCCGACCCTATGCCCTTATCGTCCTTCTAAGTTATACTCTAATGTACCCCGAAACCCGATTCGAACATTTTACGACAATCTCGGCTTCTAGGTTCAAGATTACCTTAATCTTAAGGGCAGTTCAAGGAAGGATGCTTGGGCCATGCACATAACTCTGTGGAAAAAAGAGGTGGAGGCGGACGGCTCTGGAGCTATTCCGGGAAGGAACAGCGGTCTGCGACACAGTCCTGCAGCTGTCTCGGGGTTTGAAATTCGCGGTAGGAGGCTTTACATCCTAGAGTCCTAGATCTTTCCCGTCCCTACTTCGCGAGACGACGCCGCCATCATTTCGATCCGTAGCCCGTTCGCTAGTGTAGCCGTACTATATGTACTGGACTATACCTTAAAGCCCTAGTCTAATATAGTCGGCCCAACTCGAACGAAGTCTGTGTTTTTTCTACAGCCGGTATGCACCGTTTCAATCCGAATGCTCCCGCAGATCTCCTCCGACGAAACTGTAATGGGTTTAGGGTTTAGGGTGTCGCACCCCCCCATAACCCCCCAAAAAAAAACACAAGCCACGCGAAAGCGGCACCCTAAACCAAAAAAAAACAGCCCTAATGAAATCCTTAAGGCTTAAGAAAAGCTCCTTGCCTGTTAAAAAACGATGACACTCTCTTCTAAATTCAAAACTCCCAATGCCGTAAACCCCAGAAGAGTCCTCCACACTGTCAAAAAAACACAAGTAACACCCCTAACAGCACCTTTAAAGAACTGCAACCGCCCAAGGCCTGAATCCGCCACTCCCGCCCCTCCCGCGTGTCTCCACACTGCCCTAGACCCTGGAACCCGAAAGCCTAAAATCGAAACTCTAAACCGTGAAACCCTAAAGCCCGAAACCCAAACCCCCAGGACCTTAAACCCTAAACCTTAAATCCCCAACCCCAAGACCCTAAAACTTAGAGTACCCTTACAGTACCCACCTCACAATAACCCATCTAGCAACCTTACAGTAACCCCTCGTCCATCACTTTAAAATTCCCTAAGTCCTAAGCCCTCTAACCCCAAACCCCATAACCCCAAACCCTAGGCACTGAAACCCTAAAACCCTGAAGCCCTAAAGCCCTAAACCCGAAGCCCTCTAACCCTAAACCCTCTAACCCTGAACCCTAAACCCTCTAACCCTAAACCGTGGTCCATGCTGCTGGTCGTAGACAATAAGCTCTCCAATGAATCCACCGAGCTGCCGCGTCTTGGAATCGGCAGGTCATTTTAGGGCTTTGGCAGTTTAGGGGTTTAGGGTTTAGGGGGTTTCAGGTTTAGGGTTTTGGGAGTTTAGGGGTTTAGGGTTTAGGCTTTAAGGTTTAGGGTTTTGGGAGTTTAGGAGTTTAGGGGTTTAGGGTTTAAGGTTTCGGGAGTTTAGGGGTTTAGGGTTTAGGAGTTTAGGGGTTTAGGGTTTCGGGTTTGGGGGGTTTAGGGGCTGCAGGTTTCGACTTCATGAGCTTGTCTCCTTTTATGAATGGGGTTGTTGCAGTTCTATGTTTGGGCCTTGTAAGGATTTGAAGAGTTCTGTAGGGTTTTCATTCGGTTTTGGGGTTCAAGGTTTGGGGTGGGGTTCAACATTGAGTGTTTAGGGCTAAAGACTCAGAGAACAAGGTCTTAACTCTTCGTACTCGAGGGTCTTATGGGATTGTGGCTTGGGCATTGGGCATAGGCTCAAGTACAAGCATTTGATTCTATTGGCTTCTCCCTTCAGGCCTAAAGGGT